TTCTAAAATTACTCTACTGTTAGACTTGGGGAAGGTTAGAGCCTATAATGAACTTTCATCCTCATTTCCTATCACCAGTGAAGTACTTTATGGTAGCCCTGTCTCTCCGTTTCTCTTCAACTTTGCCATAGATGGTGTTCTACAAAACGCGTTACTCAATGTAACGAACGCTGGCATCCAGCTTCGTCCTGGAGATCGAGCCGTAAACTGAGAGTATGTCGATGATACTGCCTTACTCGGTGACAACGCAACGGCGACAACGCAATGCCGATTCGTTTGGCAGGTGAGGTATGTCCTTTGCACCTGCTAAGTGCAAAGTGCTGTTGCAAGATTAGAAGGAACCCGTTCCTTTATTTTTGTTGGGAAACCGCACTCTGGAAGTAGTCGAAAGCTTTGTCTACCTGGGGAGTTGCATAGCAGCTGACTGCAGTGTGGGTGAGGAGATTTCTCAACGCATAATCAAAGCTAGATTGACGTTTGGTATTCTGTAACATCTCCGGCACCGATGCGACTTATCCCTTTCACTGGAAAGACGTGTTTATGGCATCACGTGAATAACGATAAAGTTAGGCGACGTGTGTTATGGTCAGATAGTCTTCCACTGAGCAAAACCACTTCACTGCACCGTCTTAGGTGGTTGGGGCGCGTTCTACGAATGCCTAAACAACGCCTGCCATACCGCGTGCTATCTGCAGACATTGGCTCGGACTGGAAGAAATAACGAACTGGGCAGGCTATCACGTGACGTAAAGGGCTAGAGAGATTGGGTTTGCAGTTGGTTTCCGTCGGGGCTTCCCGGCTTTCTCAAAGATCCAGATAGTCTTTGACCGGGGACACTGGCGTGAATGCATCCTTTTCTGTATCCAATCCCAAAAATAAAACAAACAAAAAATCAAATTGCGTTAAGTGAGCAGGTAGAAAGGTCTTCATCCCCACAGTTGACTGTCTTCATTTTCTCCCTTGTTCTGTCTCTATAATTCTCTTGCAACGCATGGTTATTTTGCGCCGTATCCG